TAAATAAACCCACTTACTGATTGGCAGTAGCATAAAAAATGGAAGCCAGCAGACGATGAATACTCCGACCACAATTCCTAACGTTTTTGCCGCCTTTTTCTCCTTATTAAACCGCTGTAGTTTCTGAGTGAGACCTGTAGTCTGCGACTTGCTCCTATTTCTCAACACTAGAGAGCTGTTTTCTTGGGTCTTGCCAAACTTCCTAGCGTTGTTTATTGTTCTTGGCTGGGCGGTGTGAATTCTCAGCGTTATGTCATTTTTACCTTTCCCGGTGCTTTTCTCTCCTGCCATGAGACTCCGGGTCTGAATAATGGCTTCCCTGTAAATGCGGTAGTAGAGGACCAATATAATTATTAATGGAATGTAGAATGACCCAGCAACTGAGAACAAAACATAGTCGAGTGAGTCTGTGAGAGGACATATATTAGGATCCTTTGTAGGGGGTCTCCAACCAAATAAAGGTCCGGCCGATATAGCTACGGAAAAGATCCAAACCAGTGCCATTACTATGGCAGCTCGTTTTTTCGTCATTATCATATTATGCTGCAGCGGACGTGTCACCCCAATATATCGATCTATGCTGATCACACACAGACTGTTGATAGAGGCAGTGCAACACAGTACATCTACCGCCGCCCATACATCGCAGAAAGCGGGTCCAAACGGCCAATACGGTATTATTTCATAGGTTGCTGAGAATGGTAAAACTGTTGTCCCAAGCAACAGATCGGCAACTGCTAAGTTAACGATAAAATAATGGGTGACAGATCGGAGAGATCGTTCCATTGCCACAGCTAATAAAACCAGTACGTTCCCAACAATAGTCAATATTACGACCATGCTAAGTGCAAGCGTAGATAGGACAATAAACAGAGTTGGCGGCAAAGCCGGGATCTCGTCCAACCCAATCGTGGTATTGGGCACCGTTGTTTGGTACATCGTGAACACATTTCCTAATTCCGGTTCAACGCTACTGTAAACCACGTGACTCCCACTCGGGATTAAACTACCATTTATTTCCGTGATTGCGTTAGCGATGTCAGTAGTGTGCCTACTCGATAGCATGTCTATTTCGGCGAATCCATTACTGGTATTTAGTTCCGGCAACCACTCCATCGTAGAGCATTAACAAGAGTGACGATTCTTTCTCTGGTCGCTCTTGATAATATATCTACAAGAAAGCACAATAAAAAAAATACATTGTTATTCTATTGCTACCGCCACATGACGTCACAGCAGGTACTGGGGCGCCACAATGGATGCTCTGTCGAGTGGATCATTCGAACTCTTTTCAAAACCAGAATTCGGACCTATTTCAAACAAAATAAAAATCACGTTGTTTTTTTAATGGCCGCGTTTATTCTTCCAATCTAATCCAGCTTTAGTAATTGCAATCGATGGACACGAATGACATAACCACATAATAGCCCGAGCATAGTTATTTCTTGGTAGAATTATATAACAGAGGCATCGCCCAGACTAAATTACAAAAAAAAAAAAAAAACGCATTTGGATGCAGAAATAATCAAACACATTCAGTCAGTCAAAATTAATTAACAAACAATTAAAAAGCAAACCTTCCCAAATTATTTTTATTACTATTGTTTGTTTTAGATTTGTTTCATTAACATGGATACCAATATTACAATGGATATTTCCGGGCTATATTTTATATGCAATATCACAGTACCATTAAGTGCCTAACCCGCACGGTGACCATAAATGTACAGTGTTATTTGCGCAGCGCAACACTAGTTGCCATGGATAGTAACTATGGAACCACTCCATGGATAACGATGATTCAAAGCCGATAGCGTTTTTCTGTAATCCTGTATGTTATAGCTGTACCTCGAGTCAGTGTGACGTAAAAAAACCAACGTCGCGTTTTATATTAAATACAGCAATATCTCTTGTCATCCAGAGTGGCGCTGTGAACACATGGAGCAATAGCAGAGACTGTCTATATGTATATATAAAGGGCGGGGGTGTACAAAATTACTCATGTTCATGTACAAAAATACGAATATATCACTAGCGACAATCCCATCTATCTTTAACTGGATCCACACGAATACCGGTGCGAACACTGTCTGCATGTAATTGCCACTATTACGCTATTGACTGAATGCGGTTACTATTACTCACGTTTGTTAATGAATTTGGCTACATTTAATTACGTGACTTACTGACTACAGTTACTATTAATTAAGTTACTGGTTGATTACGGTCAGTCATATCTACGTTACTGTCTGAACACAATTACTTTATTTTCCTTACTGGTTGAAAATATGGTTACTATTAATTACGTTACTAGTTGAATACGGCTGCATACGGTAAATGTTATTCACGTTTTTTGGAGAATACGATTCTTATAAAATTACGTCTCTGGCTGAAAACAGTTACCATTAATACCACTAGTGGTTGGATACGGTTACTATAAATTGCTTTACTGACCAAATAAGACTACCTTCATTAGTTACGTTACTGGCTGAATACGGTTACTATTTATGCTACATGCTGAACACGGATACCATAATTAAGCCACTGGTTGTAACTTCTAATAAGATCACTAGCTGAATACAGTTTTTATTAATTAGTAAATTGGCTGAATACGGTTACTATGAATTACGTTACTGATCAAATACAGTTACTGCTAATTACGTTACTAACTGAATACGGTTACTACTATCCGTCTATAGCGGGCCATATTTTGTCGATAGCTTCAATAAGGACAACGTGATGTTTTCAAAATAAAAATAATCTTAATGACATTATATTAAAAGATGAAATGTTATATTGCAAAGTTTTATTTGAAGCGCGCAACATGGACATATTAATAAGTGTGTTTACAATAACATGACAATAACGACGGCGATTTTATTCCCATAAATAAATAATGCCATGACCTTCATGAATCACACGCATGCACGCGCACACAGACAGACAGAGGTCACTTAAAAAGAATAGACTTAACCATGTATATATATAGTGGACCTGTGTACAGAGAAAAAAAAAACGTCATTGTCAAAAGCAAACGACAGTAGTTTTAGTAATGTTTTAGGTGTAAACGGCTTTTAAATGTGATTTTTTTTACGCTATGACTTTTTAAATCATTTAAGCAGCAGCTCGAATGGAGCCAGTGGCGGATCCAGAGGGGGGTGGTGGCCCCAAACGATCATTCACATCATCTGGATTACGCATAGCTTCTCTGCGATTTACGCTCCGTAAATTTTAAGCGAAGCTTGGACCCCCCCCAATACATTTTGCTGGATCCGCCACAAAAAGGAGCGATTCCCCCTAACTACATTTAGTTACTCCTAATACGTTACTAGCTGAATGCAGTTACTATTACTCGGTTTACTTGATACGGCTACTATTAATTACGTGACTGACTGCCTAAATACAGTTACTATTAATTAAGTTACTGGTTGATTACGTCCAGTGGTAACTACGTTCTTGTCAGAACACAGTTATTTTATTTTCATTACTGGTTGAAAATATGGTTTCTATTAATTACGTTAATGTTGAATACGATAAATTTGATTTAACGGCTGCATATAATAAATATTATTCAAGTTACTTGGAGAATACGGTTACTGTTATTAATATCACTGGTTGGATACAGTTACTATAAATTGCTTTACTGGCAAAATAGGCCTACCTTTATTAATTACGTTATTTACTGGCTGAATACGATTACTGTTACGTAAACTACATACTTAATACGAATACCATAATTACGCCACTGGTTGTTACTTCTAATTAGGTCACTGACTGAATACGACCACTGTTAATTAGTTGCTGGTCAAATACAGTTACTGCTAATTACGTTACTAACTGAATACGGTTACTGCTAATTACGTTACTAACTGAATACGGTTACTACTAATTACGTTACTAACTGAATACGGTTACTACTAACTATTGGACCGTCTATAGCGTGTATTATTTTTCGATAGCTCAGTAAAGACAAAGATGAGTTTTCAAAATAAAAATAATCTTAATGGCATTATATTAAAAGATGAAATGTTATGTTACAAGGTTTAATTTGAGGCGCGCAAATTCGTAACATAAATATATTAAGTATGTTTACAATAACATGACAATGACAGCGGCGATTTTATTCCCATAAATAAATAATGTCATGACCTCCAGGAATGACACGCACGCATGCATGCGCACACAAACAGAGGTCACTTAAAAATAATAGACGTAACCATCTATATATATAGTCCACCTTGTCATAGTAATGTCATAGCCGTGTACAGAAAAGAAAAAAAAAGTCATTAAATGGAACTCAATTGTCAAAAGCAAGCGATAGTAGTAATAGTAATGGGTTATGTGTAAGCGTCTTTTGAATGTGATTTGTTTTTTCCACTGTATGGCTCTTTAAAACATTTAAGCAGCAGATTGAATGGAGCGATACCCCAAACTGCGTAATAGTTCAATCGTATGCAGTAATTGTGCCATAGGCTGTAACATCTGCACACATTATCGCGTTAATGACAATTAATGCTGATTTTGCGGATAGCGATGGAGCGGCTTCGCACACTCATCAGCTGGTGAGCGAATGGCCACCGAGACACAAGCGCATGCTTTATTAAAAGAGAAATACTAATCGCGAAATTGGTAATTTCCGATATTGTTAGCTGACCGACCTTATATACGCGTCTCATTAATTAATAATACTCACTCGTGTTACCGAAGTGTTTATGAGTAAAAATAGTAATAATGAAGTCTGTGATGCAATGGTTATTTATAAAGAACATTGACGAAAGAGGTTATAAGCACGCCGTGCATTAGAGATAGCCAATATCACCCTATTTTAGTGGTCCCCGGATATACTTTTGTAATAACGCACTGCTAGATGCTGTGACAACTATACAATAAATTGCATTTAGATTTACAACAGTATTTTCCGAACAAACAAATATCAGGTGCCGGCATTTTAAACATAATTTCACAGTCACCAAACCCCCTCCATGGGAATGTTACCCGACCTTAAAATTACACGATCACAGCAAGACCCGCTAAAATAGCATTTGAGTTAAAGCTGTTTACTATGCGGTTGAGAGAACCGAGTGGTACATAGATAACGATTCCGTACTCCTTCGCGTATATCGTAAACCGAACCCAACAATAATAACGTTATACTTAGCAGGTAAATCAACGAAAGTTATGAACTCACCATGGATGTACGAGATAAATCTCTCGACAGCAGATAATGTGAAAACGATCCCTAGTCACTAAGCATGTACTGTTCACATATTGGCACGTCGACATTAACGTGTCCACGGACACTCCACGCAAAGAACTACACACTTCGCTACACTCGAAAAGACGCTGTGCTCTACTCTCGAGCACTTCAGTACTCGTACGCTACTAGCAGCGACGGTCCGCAGTTGGTCTCGCTCACCAACCAATATACAGCAACCTCATATGCATATTTAGGGCTTAGTAGTGACGTCACACTTCAACGCATCCGTCACGGTTGGTTGTGGCTCGAACACTACTGACAACGAAATGTATCATAACGTACCCGCACCAGGGGAGACAATTCGTTGTATATATCCGCCCTATCTGAAATAAACATTTATCTTCGCCTTAACAAACGAAACTACAAAAAATGACAGTAGTTATGATTTGATATGTTCTCAATGGCGATATCAGTGGCTGGAATATTATCCAAGTATACTCATGGAGAGTGGTTATTTGTTAACCAATTTTTTTTATTTAATGGTTTCAGGATTGAATGGTTCGTTGGCGCCGTAATCGCATTGTTGGGGGTCACGTACTCCGGCGCAGTGCAACGCGGCAGGACACATCACTTTTGGCTGAGTGGTGGCGTGTCATATTTTTCTCAGTTTAATGGCAGTTCAAAGCGTCCGCCTTGAAGCGCACACGTTCAGGGGGCAGTTTATTGTGTCCGCGGTGGGTATTCATCCGCGTCTCTGTTTTCAAGGAGAAGGCGACACACTGTTGTAATAAATAAGATGTCATTTCACAGAAGTTGGGACTAACTGATAGTTTCCGTTTTCTCTCGACATTCAATGTTACAAATTCAGGATAGGCTTAGTCACATTTCAGGGACATTTAAGTGTCCGATTTACAATACGGCTGTCACGCTAACATGTTATTAGATTTATAACAGTTTGAATCGCTGGCTGATTT